TTAACAATTTCCTTAGCTTTAAATTTGGAGAGCCACTTTGTCCCTCCCCAAATTGTTCTTTTCCTCTCTAATCTTCCAAAAAGACCTTGGCAGTCTTATCTCTCTTTTTGACAACCTCTCTGCTTTTTCCTTTCTTTTCTTCACCCTAAGTGCCAATTTTTCGCACCCCCGGGTTGCATCAATACCAAAAAAATTGACTTTGGATAGCGAAGACACCTAATGGGACAACCCATCTCATTCCTCCGTGAAAGGGTTAAATCGAAAACTGCTCCAAACGCATACCAACCCGATTAATCGCAGCCGCCTAATTTCACGTGGAACCCGTTTAATCCGACGACTAAGACTAAGTAAGTCCGCGTTCGTCGGGATAGCGCGAATATTGCTCCGCAAAAGGTTTTAATAGGGAGATTAATGACCTAAATAATGATCATTCTGTTTTTCTATTTTTCTGTTTCGGGAACAGGTTTGGAACAAAAATCCATTTAGCAACGTGACTTCATTTTTTTCATTTTCGGGACAAATTTTTAGCTTACGAGAAGTAGATTTTTATTACTTTTCTCTTTCTGAAACGGAATCAGAAATGAAAACTCTTTTTATCGCTCACCCTCGCCGCCCGCACACCCACTATCGCCCGCCGTCCGCCTGCCGGTTGCCGAGCACAGAAATTTAAGAATAATCGATCAAACGAATTTTTATTCCGGAAAAGAAATTATGTATCGTTATTAAACGTTACTTTTTGCTCAAAAAATTTATGTAGAAAATTTAGAAATTGGGTCGAAAAAATAATGATTTTTATTCGTGTCCTAATTGGCAAGCATCTTTTGAAATTAGATTTGGGAAGATGATATGAAAAGATGGTGGCCAAAGCCTGAGAAGAATCCCCACAATCCAAGGGGGAAAGAGGAGGAAAAGGCAACAAAGCGAAAACAATCTGTAGCCCCAGCGTCAGCAGAAACCCTCTTTTTTGTCTCCCAAGGCACGTGAAAACGTTGTTGGACGAGACAAGAAGGGCCGGTTTCTCGAGAAATTATCGTATAATCCTGTAAAATCGTCCAAATCATTATCATCTTAATTCATATTAATAATTGATTACGGTAGTCCCATCATTAACCATTGAAACAGTCTTAGACCCGCGTGATTATCATCTCAATCATTGATTATCTCGTCTGTCGATAACACCGACTCCTATTTCTCGATAATATCCCACGATTAAGATCATTAGCCAAGTCCCGTGAAATCATTTCATAGAAGTTCATTAATATCTTTATTTTATAAAGCAAATCGACTTGAATCCTTGAATAATCCCAATCACTTTTGCTTCTATTGTAATAACAGATTTCCCTTTCACGTGGAAATGGCCCAATCTTTGGCCATAATAGAAACATTCTTCTTTCTTCTACAGTAGAGTAGATGAATGTTTGCCAATTTGATCTCATAAATCAAGTAAGACGCGGGTCAAAATCTAAACGGCTGGGTGAAATTTGTGAAATGTACCGAGTTGCTTAGTCTCTCTAGGTTCTCTGTATAGAATAGATGCAAGAAACTCACTGCTTGATGTGCCAAAGGAAAAACAGTGAGCTCATCTCCTCTCCCCATACCTCCAACAGTAAACCCAAGTCATTCTCTGCGCTCTGCATATCACCACATGCTTTTTCCTCCCGCTGTCAAAGCACGCACCCACAGAAAACCTGATTCATTCCAAAGCCTCAAAGACAATCTGCGAGCACAGGTTGAACAGTCATTTCCTTCTCTCCCCATCTCTTTCTCTCTCTCTCTCTGTCATCTCTCTTCCCTTTCACTTACTCTGAGCACAGTGTCAATCCTAGGTAAGATCTTGACTGGACATTGCAGCAGTACCATCGCCGCGTGTGTGGAATCCCCAGATTGGCCTTTCTGAACAGAGAAGTGAAGGTGGTGGTGTAGGGTTTTGGACACGACGAGCCCCATGCACAATAATTCAGGGCTCGAGGAGGGTGGGGACCTCTGTGTTGATGTGATATGGCTGCAATTTTCTTGCTGGGTCTCAGGCTAGAATTCAAACGAGCTTTTCACAGAGTTTTATCCGGCTGGTGGGTTTCTGACATGCTGCATATGGTTTTGCAGCTGATGATAATAATTTCCCCATCTTTTCTAGTACCTGTACCGGGTAGGGAAACCGATGGCACACGGAGGACTTTCCTTTACGAGGGGGGTAAAAGTAAGAAGAAATTTATAACTATTATAATTTAGGGTTAATACCATAATTTTATTCTAAATTATTTTTTTTATCACAAAATATTCAAACTGGTACACTTATGATAAATTTATCCCAAACTAATATTTTGATCACTAAAAACTTCAAATTTATACAGTTATGACAAATTTACACTCTGTTAGTTTCCGTTAAATTGAATTACTATCACAAAAAATTACAAATTGATACATCCGTGATAAATGAAGGGTAACGCATAAAACTAGTACATCAATTAACTATCGCATGTCATTTAACAAAGCAATTTGATAGTAAAATTTAACGGAAACAAACTGAGGATAAATTTGTCACAAGTGTACCAATTTGGGGTTTTTGGTGATCAAAAAATAAGTTTAGGGTAAAATTGTCATAGGTATATCAATTTAGGGTTTTTCGTGGTATTAACCCTAATATTTATGGTCCTTTTCAAAAAAAAATACGAAAAAACTTCGTACTATGTCCACTTGACATATTTATCCTAATTTTTTGTATGATATCAAATATCCAAATTTTATACCTGTGTGACACAATTACTTTCCATTAAGATTTCATTAATGAACGCCATTAAAAATCTACCTGCATGGACACCGAAAAGCTAATGGTATTGACATGGCGTCTATGTGGTTTAAGTGGAATAAAATTGACGTTGGTTTGGCTGAAAAGTCATTTGACATAAGTATAAGTTTTTGATTTTTTATGTCACAAAAAAGTTTAAGGTAGATGTGTCCTAATATGCATAATTTAAGATTTTTAGCGATTTCTTTCCTTTTTGTTTTGTTATTATTATGAGATGTTGCGTCGAAATTAGGGTATTTACAGAACTTTGGTTTAGTAGATTTACTCACTAAACAAAATTGATTATAAAGAGTTACGAATGGAGATCCTATGTGATGATTCAAAACTTATAGGTCGATGTAAGTTTTGAAAAAATTGTGATCAAGTCTGCTGATCGTAGATAGATGGCGTAACTTTATGTATGAGTCCGTTTATGATCCCTCAAGCAAACATTTCCTAATATACTTAAGCCTAGGAAAATAAATTTCGAATCTATTTCGATGATCCAACAATATCAAACTTTGTGAGAATCACTTTAAATCTTCATGATCTACACTCCACAACATCTCTTATTCATAATAATCTTGGGCTGCACTCATCACACTATGTGAAATAGTACAGCAACTTCTCCTAGAAAGGCCATTTTAGCGAGTGTTTTCGAGACAATTTATTTTCTAAAAGGATTTTACTAAAGAGTTTCTTGAAACACCTGTTAAGCATACTCAATATAGAACATTGCAATTTCCTAAGTGTTGATTTAGGGATAAAATCGAGTCGAGCTCGAATTTGAAAAGTATTTTATCGAGTCGTGCTTAAGTTTGTCAACAATCGGCTTAATAGGCTTGTGAGCCTAATTGAGTTTAATCGAGTTTTCATTATTTTCTAAAAGATATTTAATAATTCTAAAAATAGCACAAAGCACTTGAAAGGATAAAATTAACGCTTGAGCTCGAGTTTTATGTATAAGTTAATCGTAATGGAGATAAACTCAAAAGGTTTGATTTTCTAATCGAGACGAGCTCGAGCATGAAAACCAATACATTATCGAGCTGGAGTTGAATTTTGAGCACCAAGAATGCAAGTCGAGTCGACCTCGAGTTTAATCGTGTGGTATCAATTCAACTTGGCTCGATCACACCCTTACGTTGATTCTAAGTAAGACGAGACAAACAGTACATGAGGAATTGCAAATTTACTTTAAATTGTTTCCGAACAAAAATCCAGATGACACGTTTTACAAAATATAATGTAAAATGCATATCGGGAGAACAACCGATCCAGACAATCAATTGGGTTAACATGTGTCTCCTTCACAGAGTCCTTCCTACAGTGTTAGTGAACAGTAAAGTGTTGGCTTTTTTCACTGCGGGGCTCGGTGCTAAACTGGAAAGAAAAGTGATGATTTCTATTAAACCACAAAGGCCGATGTTCCCAAACGGGTGGGAGTTATGATATCAATCAAAAACCAAACCCCCAAAAAAGTTCAAAAGCAGAGAAAAAGGGAGGCCATCAAAAGCAAGGAGAGGAAGGAGCTTCTCTCTCTCTCTCTTCTTTCTGCCAACGAGAAATTGAGTGAAGCCCAAAGAGAGAAACAGCCAAAAAGGACTCCAACAAATGATGTACCCACAAAGGGGGGTATCATTTTCAAGTCCTTATCTAATGTACTGTCAACTTCTCTCTGTCAATGTCCAGGGGACATCATGACCCAAAGCTTAGATTTAGATTAAGATGTGTGGCTAAACCAACCCCATTCAGATCTTGGATTCATTCCCCGTAAAAGAAATCTTATAGCATTTGCCCCTAAAATAAGCCCCCCAAAAACACCCCCATTGCCCTTAAAGAAACAGCTGGTGATGTGTGTGGGCCTGTCAGTCACTCCACCTTCTTCTTTTTGTCCTTCCCACAGCTTAGATTCTTAACACCCCATTTATTTAATCACCAGCACAGGCATCATGAACATGGGCCATGTGAATAAACACCATATCTCCATAAAGTCCCCCTTTTGTGACTTGCAGGTTGGTGCGCAGCATCCTTGTGCAAATTCTGGGGTCCTCATCCCACCCTACAGCTAACATCAGATATTCATGTGCCCTTGAGGCACTGAACAGCCATGTGATCGTGTCTACATGATCTTTAATGATTTGCACATAAACGCATACTGTTTCGCCCAGACAAGCAGGGCAGCCATGAAAGATGAACTGAAAACCATGAAAAGGGACAGTAAAGAGAGGAATTTTACACTGAATAAAACAGTTTGATGCAAGGTAACTGGGGACACAAATCATCATATATAGAATATAAGCCCCAAATAATAATCTGAGGCAAACATCTTCTTCTTCTCTAGTAAACAGGAAGAGAAGGCTCATCAACAGAGAGGGGTCACCATAAGTAGACTAATGACCCATCAAATCTTTGATCCAAAAGAAAGCTAAACAAAAAGAGACCAAAGTAAAAAGGAAAAAAGCCCAGATCTATACAGTTTATTATGAGAAACCTAACAGTAAACACCACAGTCTCTTCTTCTTCTTCTTTTTTCCTTTTTTTTTTTTTACCTGGAAGAAACGGGGTTCAGAGCTCTAGCGAATCCGTTCATGGCACCATAGCCCTTCGAGCTAAACCCCAAGCAACCGAGCAGGCCTTGCCTGTAAGGCAAGAATGTCTTCTTCCTCATCTCTTCGCTCTGGGCCCTGTTCGCCGTGTAATGCAGCTCGTGCGGCGATGGCGGGACCCTCCTCTTCCCGGCTGACGACCCGTTCACCGGCCTCTTCCCACCTGATCTTTTCCCGGAACCGCCGCCGCCGCTACCGCCTTTCTTGGTTTTCTCGGCGTCGAGAAAGCTTCCGGCGACCCCAAATGCCGAAGACAAGCTCGGGACTTTACTCGGTTTCGAGGTCGAAGATGAGACGGTGCTGGCGGGTCTCTCTTTGTCTCTCTTCTCCTTGACCGGCGAGAACGAGAGCGTGTTCCAGAACTTGTTGTTGCTTCTCCCTTCGCTCTTGCTTCTCAGAAAATCCTTCAGGAACACCCACCTCTTCGAGCTCCGACCAGCCGACGACGACCTCGAGGACGAAGCCGAGACCGACGGCGTCGTTTCGGAGGACAAGGACTCCACCTTCGAAGCGTCGCCTTGCTCCTCGTCGAGATTCTCCGCTTTCTCCCCTGACTTGCCGCCGAGCTTACTTCCTCTGCCGCTGCTGCCGTCTTCCTCCTCCTCCTCTTCTTCATCGTTCCACTCGAACGGCATGTTCCTAAGCGGCGACATGGACCTCGTCCTCCGGCGGACCGACTTGTCCCTCAGCCTCAGATCCCTGCCCCTGAAGCCCCCGCCACTGTCGCTCCCCTCCCGCCCTCGCTCCTCGTCGTCGAGATCCGGCAGCGGGGCGAGGACCTGCGGCCGCTCCAGGTGGGTCGACAGCTTCATGGGCCGGATCTGTCCGTTCAAGAACAGCTCGTCCGCCGAGCTCATCGGCCCGGGATGGCCCGACCCCGGCGACCCGAACCGGGACGAGAACTCGAACTCGTACGACACGGAGCTCTCGGACGCGCGGGGCTGCGCCGCCAGCCCCATCGCCGACGACGACGACGACGACGAGAGCACGAAGTGCATGGGGCTGGCGGGCGCGCTGTAGAAGTACCCGGCGGCGGGCCCGGAGCCGCCCCGGCCGGGGCTGGACGGGGCGCTGACGTAAGGTGTGGAGCAGTTGCTGTCGTCGCCGTCGTCGAAGAAGAAGAGCTGCCGGGCGTCCCCGCCGCCGCCGCCGCCGGCATTGCCGGGCTCCGGATCCGGGTTCCGGGTCGGGTCCGCGTGGGCTCCGGTTTCCAGATTCATTCTCTCTCTCTCTCTCTCTCTCTCTCTCTCTCTCTTCTCTCTCTGGCGATGGCGACGATGATGACGACGACGACGACGATGTTCTGAAAAATGGCGCAGAGGAGTTTGCGTGGGGAAAGCCCAAAAAAATAGGTGCGAGGCATGCCTCAACACAATGACCTTGACATTGCGCAATTATTACGGGCGTGCCACTCCGTCTCTCTCGTTTCATCGTCCGTACGAGGAGGCTCCCCTTTGTTTATTGGCGGAATTACCGGAATGCCCCCCCCCTCGTGCTAGTTGGTGGCGTGGTCTGTCCTTTTTTTTTTTTGGGGCCCCTCTATGGTTTGGCAAATATTTATTGCGACCGGAAAATGAATATTCGGGGGTTTGACTTTCATCACCTAAGGAAAGAAAAAAATGAAAATATATATATAGAATTTTTTCGTTCATGTTCTGGTCTTTGGAATGGGTTCATTCATGCATTGCGTCGGTTGGGGAAGGTTCCCAGGTTCATTTTGGTAATAAATGTAAGTTCATTGCCCATCGGTGATATTAGGGGTGAACTGTTTCGATCCGGTCCGATTCAATCCAAGAACCGAAAATCAAACCGGAGGATCGGCTCCCAATTTTGGTAATAAATGTAAGTTAGGCTTTCTATTTTTTTTCAAAATTTTTAAAAAGTAAATAAATATATATGAAAAAATTAAAAATATATATTTATCGGTACGGTTCGATCGGTCCGGTCCGGTCCGGTTCTCACTCTAAAATCGAGAACCGGACTGCTCGGAAACCGGTTCCACTTTTAGGAACCGGGAACCAGATCGATATTCTCGAGAACTGGACCACACCGGTCAGTCTGGTCCGGTCCGATCCTGATTTAGACGGTCCATCTTGCTCGCCCTTAGATGGTATGATGCTTTGTTCGAGACATTATCGACCGAAAAGGAAGATGTTCCCGAGCGAGATTTCATGATTAGCGCTCATTTATAGTTATAAGGCCGGCGATGACGCACGATAAGACGGATACCCGTGACGTCAGTGAAAGGATCGTGCATTCAAAAAAAAAATTAAACACGTCCGGCTCTTTCCTTCTCTTGATCCTAAGTGAATCATTGACATCGTCGTTTTAAAACGGCTAAACGCCCCATGATGATGGTTTTATCGGCCGATAATATTTCGATATCATGCACGCAATTTATGTGACAATAAATTTACGATGTGCCCAAATGCGGGTTTTTTTTTCTTCTTTTTTTTGGACGGAGCATGTGAAATTAAGCTTTCGGCACGACTTGTGTACCGAGCAAGTTTCGGAATCGGGGCCCCCCTAGATAAATCGCGAAAAATTTCACCCCCGCGGTCCCGCCTTTCCATCAAAGAATTTAGTAATTATTTGACTTCCAAAAATTCCTAAATCGCGTCGTATTTACAAGGAAAGCGACGCGTGTGTCAATTTCATCAGATGCTGCTACCGCATAATCTTCGAGGGGGAACATTTTTTTTCTATTTGGGTTTTGCGTGGAGAGGTCCCTGAAGTCGTGGGTAATTTTAATTTATTACCCCACGGTGCCCACTTGCGTTTTACAAAAAGACCCTTGACCTTGCCCCCATTTCATTTTTGAATGGCATTTATTTTTGCTTGTATTAGTTGTTAGGTCAACAAATGATAAAAACTAGCTAGAGTCCAAATGCAATGTAAGGTCTCGGGAGTACCAAAAAAAAGCCACCGCCCCACCCCCCTTGTCGAGGGCGTTTCAGAGAAATTTAGACTCGTTTCGTTTCACGAAAAATAAATAATTTGAAAATAAATAAAATTTAAAAATGATCGCTTATATTACTTACAAAAATGAATAGACGGAAACATACATCTATCGTCCACGAAAATATTTAGACATAAATTACCGTCGATAACGAAAAATCTTTTTTCATCGGCTACTTATTTTCAGGCGATACAAGCAATCGTTTTCTGGAAAATATTTTTTCGCGAAACAAACGGAACCTTGAATAAGTCCGAGTCATAAACGAAGCACTAATTAAGTATACTTTGGCTTTGGATATTTCGATTTCTGAGATACCGATTGCGCTGAATACAAAGACATTCAGTGCATCGGAAGCTGGAAATTTCTTTGACCGGTTGCTTTTTTTTTTTTGGGTCAAATTTTATTGGTTGCTTGACAAGCGCTTCTAAAGGATCTGCTGACATAATTTAAAATAATTCTGAAAAAAATAAAAATAAAATAAAAATATTTTTTTTGGAGAGTATTATATTTAAAAAAAAAAGGGGGGCATGGAGAGAAGAGCGAGGGGGTGGGGAAACGGGAAAGGGACGGTGGACGCGCAGACATACGAACCGGCACAGACAGTGAGGAGGGGGGGGGGAGGCGCACGTTCCTGGGCCCCGCTCCCGTGCGGCGCCGCCCCGCGGTACTCCCCCTGCACCGCCCCGCTCGATCGCCGACACGTGTCCCGATCCCCAAAGAAAAGAGGAAAAGGAAAGTATCCAAGAGTATCCTCTATGCTTGTATTTGTAAAGCATACATGGTAAGCGGCAATAATGAATCATATGAAATAAGTCCTTCATTCGACCCCCCCTCCCCAAAAAAAAAATAAAAAATCCTTCATCGCATTCTTCTATGATTTTGAGCTCGAGCTCAAACTCCGTCCCTTTCTTGAATTTCGTCATTGTTCGTTGCGCGTCCAATTGGCTAATGACATGTTTGCAATTTGAATTCGAGCATAATTCTCGTGTGGAACAAAGATTACCAACCAGTTGCAATAGGCGAGAGGGTTCATCGTCGGAAATTACCGTAAATTTGGCTTTTATGAAGTAAATTTAATCGGAGAAAGCGACTTCCTTAAGATTGTGTTTGCGAAATTATCGTGTCACGGCGAGTTTATGGAGGAACTCTTACGATTCCATAACGTTAGCAAGTGCGGACACACCAAAGCCAATGTAAAAGAACGAAAAAACAAAAGTTACATGACCTGATGGTTTAGGATGATCATTCAAATTGCATCTAAAGGAGAATGACCCTATTCGACCATCCTCTCTATTTTATCTGCTTCTATTTTATCAAAAGTATTTGATGAGATTCGATTGATTTCAAGAAAGTGTCGAATTTTGCATTATACATTGTCGATGGTAGATTGCAAAAAGTTCAGATATGTGCATTTAGATTCCTAACTAAGAAATAATAGTTTTATGCCCGCGTTTCGTACGGGTTGATTTTCCTTTCCCATTTTATATAACGCTAGAAAAATAATGCCATACTCAAAATTATTTTCTAAGCACAGTTACATTATCCTCTTCTCTCTCTCTCTCTTTTTAATAATTTCGACCTTGTTGTGTGCACCAGATTAATTAAAGGAGAAACTTAGGTATATATGAAAATATTCAATATTGTTGAAAGTTCATAGACGACATTTCAAATTGGGATAAAGTTCAGTGACTGTACTGCATATCGGATCAAAATTTAGAGATCATTTGTGTTATTATCCCATTATTCGAAAGGGAAGGAGTTTATTTTAGGAATTAAACTGTTAATTAATTTAATTAAGGGCCACTGATTTTAGGGCATGGGGATAACCTAGTATCGAATGTACCCAATCATAGACGACCCCCTTCATAGGATCCTAGCTTTTGGGCAGCTGCTACGATGACGTCGGGTTCTGCAAATCTCCGTTTGATTAATCAAAATTAAATTAATCCATTCTTATTAGCAAGTGTGCCGAAGCGGCAATTATAAACAAATTATACACGGAATTAAAATCTTCGAGAAGATTTAAAAATAATAATAATTTCTGTAAAGTTTGCGATCGATGCTTCTGAAATATAAATTTTTTATTTTATTTCAGGGCACTCGTTTTCATATAATTCCGAATTAAATTAATCTTTTTTGCGTCATTAAACTACGCTTATCTTCTGATAAATCGTTCATTAAAATACAAATTAATCGTTTTCTTTTTCAGCTTTCCTGATTCCAATAAAGTTGAGCAACCCCACTTTGCTTCGCCACAGGAGAAACTTCCAATCGGCCAACCGGATCGCGACACGTGGCGGAATTTTCACGCTAATCACCACGAGTTCTTGCCCTCTTTTTTTTTCTTTTTTCTTTTCTTTTGGTAATTTATAGTCAAGCCGAAAGTGAAGGTAGTGTGTTTGTAAGATAGATCTGGTGTTCAAAAGGATGGAATTATTGTGGATTTGATGAGGTTTGAACGTGTGATTTCGTTGCGGTGTCGATAACACGCTCGACTAATAAGTTACTCGACCATGAATCCTCAAGAGATGACGGGATTTACAGGAAGTCTCGCTTAAAAACATAAAATCTCGAGTTAGTTTCATTATATGAATTATCCATAGATCGGGTCTATTTGGTATAGGCTTCTAATTGATCTGCTTTGTGTGTATAAAGCGTGTGATGAGAGGCCGTGCGAATTCCTATTTGGAGGACTCGAGATTGGGTTCATGGTTGTCGTCGATCGTGCATGCTCCATTTGATTGTTTGGACTCCAGGATCGGGTCCATGCAAGACAGGTGGGAGGGCTAGAGAAACGGGGACGGGGGGAGGGACCTGGCCCGGATGTGGAGCCCGGTGGAAGAGAGAGAGAGAGAGCGAGCGAGCGAGAGAGCGACCCGAGAGGAGTGAAAGGGAAGTGAGGGAGCGAGAGAGGTGGTCACTCACATGCAATGTTTGGTATCAATGTGATGTTGGTATGTCATCGAGAATGAAATTGAATGAAGAGGGGGCATGTGAGGGGGCTGGGTTTGACTATTCGGGTCACCAAAGCCTCTCAGCACCCCTCCTGCTCTTTCACCTAATACATTCACATGTCGATTTGTATGCTTGTGTAGCAATTGATCAGGGTGTCTCCATATCGACATCGATGCATGTGACCCGTTTGTTTTCCAGTCTACGTATCGCATCGATTCGTTCGTAATGTCTAATCAAAAGGGACAATGAAAACTTTTGGTAGATGTGTAATTTGGATTTCAATTGGAAAAAAGAAGATTGGATGCTGGTTTTTTTTTTTTATGATGGAAGTGTGTTGTCTCAACTCCTTTGAATCCAACTTATATATGGATGAAAGGGAGGCTACTTGATAGTTGATATGATGAACTGGTTATTAGGTTTGAATCCTCGCCCCTGAGCTTATATAAGGTGAGGATTTCGGCCGGCTACTCGATGGGTATGGCACGTGCTCGACGGTAGGATCGGAGTTTTGATCCTTCAATATCTTGCACTACATATTTGATATCAACCTTTTATTTTTCTTACTGTAACGATGGTTGCACGAGATTCTTTTAAAGACCTAATTAATTTACGGGCTTGGCGATGAATTTTCATGATGCACTCTAAAGAGATATCGAGACATAGTCTTGAGTAGGCCGAGGAGGAAGTAGGAGTTATCTTTTTCTTTTCTGGTATCTGCGACAACGATGATATCTTGCATTGTACCTTCTTCCTAGGATGCGAGCTAGACCACAAGAGACGGTCATTGTTTTACCAGTGCTATGAGGAGAGGATGATTATACTCGTGGGACTAATTTCTTTTATAAAGAAAAATATTGGAGTCCTTATATTAAATCTCTTAATGAACCACTAGTATTCATTAATTTCACATTATTCACCCGTCAAAGAATGCTTTTAATCCTATTCTTCATAAGCTTTGGCCCTTTGCTATTGTTCTCATTGATATTAATCTCCTCTCCTATCTTATCCGATGCAACCTGATTCGTTTTCATCTGACTTATGTAAATTCTACATAAGAATTGTGTAATAACAAAATGAATTTGGATCTTGATTGGTACATGAGAGATTAATCTCTTCAGAGCTTTGCTCTTCTATCAAAATACCAAATTCTAATAAAAATTGTGTTAAACAAATGTCTCGAACACCGAGAAAATTGTCCAAAAGTCTTAAATCTATTGCATTTTTGCTAATTCAGTTCTAAACTTTGCATTTATGCTAATTTAGTCCATCCGGCCAATTTTGAGCGGTCGGAGTTGACGCTGGCAATCTGGCCAACGCCGACATGACATTTTTTTAATATTTTATTTTATTTTCAAATTTTTGTAATTACTTTTTTTTTCCGGCCTTCTTCTCTCCACGAGGGCCGACCTCGCCGTCACCGGGTTTTTACCCAGCCACAGTGAGATCACCCTTGCGCCGGGTGGGCGACTTTGCCCACCAGTGATGGGGTGAGGTCGAGCCTCGCCCAGCCAAGGCGAGGCTGACCTCATGGCCGCCGGGTTCTCTCTCACCAGATCTAAGCGAGGGAGACCCAGTGATGGTGAGGTTGGCCTCGCCCAGCCAGGGCGAAGCCAACCTCACCAGCGCTAGGCGAGGCCAAGGCTAGCGAAGCTCGCCCTCGCCAATGGCTGGCGTGGGCGAGCTTCGCTAGACCTCGACAGCCAAAGGGAAGAAGGATAGAAAAAAAGAAGAAAGAATATTAATAATTTTTTTTGAAAATAATATTAATTTTTTTTAAAGCCACGTCAGCGTTGGCTGGCTAGTATCCATGTTAGGTCCGGCCAGCCTAAATTGCCGGATAGACTGAATTGATACAAATGCAAAAATTTTATGACTGAATTGACAAAATTAAAAGATTTAGACTTGAATTTGCAAAAATGAAATAGGTTTGAAACTTTTTAGACAATTTTCCTCCTGAACATTAAAAGAATTTTATAATTTTCAAATAAATAGGAATGTATTATCAATATTTCAAAATTTAAATTATTTTGAATTTAGTAAACCTAATGGGACCCTTCTAATAAAACTTCAGTTGACCAATAAGCAGCTACAAGAATGGGGGCAGCTTTTTATCCTACCTATGCCATTAGACTCTCTCTAGGATTGGCAGGTATCAGATTAGATTCTATAGAGTGGTCAGTCTTTTAGTAGCTGTTGAACCCCATTTTGGTCCACCTACGATTTGAAGGGGAGCAATAATAAAACATGGATTCTATCGAATGATGATGAGCATATCAATGTGGTAATGATTCTTGTCAATATGGTAATTCAATATCAATAACTTTTTTTCAAATGGATGTAGTGAAAAACATAAACATGTTAGCTGATGTCGTGGCATAGAGTAGAGGTAGATGAAGATAGAAATCTGATTAAGGCTCTATTAGTTTTCCCTAAAATGAATGATTTAAAAAATATTTTTTTAAAGATAATTAAATGCATCGCTCGAAATAATTAATTAATGAACAATGTTTCATTATCAACAATAATTTATGTCTAAATATCTTCATAGATGGTAAATTTTTTTTCGTTCATTCATTTTTTGTAAGTGATACAAGTAATTATTTTTAGAAAAATATTTTTCAAATCGTTTATTTTTCACAAAACAAACGCACTCTAAATGGCAAACGGGATATCGGGGTTGTCAAAGGTTTCAACAGTTGTAACTTGCTTTGGTGCAGATAAACCCAGACGCAATCCATTCTCAGCTTGATCTCTGCAAAGTTTCTTGCTTTTCTCCTACCTTATTTGAATGCCTGTTTCTGCACCATCACAAAGCAAACACAGCAACACAGTTTCTTCCATGGAAATGGAGCTTTCAGTGACCAATTGCACTGAGCAGATGAAGATTATGTTGATAACCAAATCGAGTAGGATGAGCTAGTTCGACCGAAGATTAGTCGATGGCTTCTAGTATATACACAAATTGGAGCAAGAAATGGACTTGACTGAACCTCTCGGGAGAGGATGGCAGGCGATACTTCATCGCGAAAGTCATACCTTAAACCTCTGAAGTTTGTGTTATGTATCATTCTGTGACTTGCGTTTTATTTGTGCCAAACTCGCCTATGCGCTTTTCTGACTCGTGTCGATTTGACGAGGTCCTTATCGCGAATGCAGCTTTAGCGTATCTATAATCACGGCCAAATCAAGCTCTGCATGATTGATCGAATATATGGACCATAACTAAACAAACAAAATGATATGAAGTGGGCCGAGGGAGAAGTCGAACAATAATTCAAGTGGAAGACTCTGCTTCAGCGACTCGAATAAGGGCCGAACGAGTCATTCAGATTGGAGCCTAAATGCTGCACGGTCACGATCTCAGGCGTCGGCCTGTAACAATTGCACGCTTCAAGAGCATTACTGATAACAAATTCTGCGCACTGGATCTAGTGAAAAGGACTTGATGCGTAACAGTAAGGTCAATCTGACTAACGATGGAGATGCATCAGGAGCACTCCAACAACATCTAACAAAAATACTACGTTTGGGCCAAATTGATGCATGATGTGAAAGCATTAAGGGGAAAGTGAATTGAAGTCCAGGAGGAAACTGAGACGAGATGCGTTGGGTACAAGTAGACTACACAGTATTTTACTCGCAACATCAGAATGGACTGTGCATACAAGAAGCTTGCAGTAAGAATAAGAAGCTTTTGCCTGTTTGTGAATTTTGAATGAGACAAGACATCTTTCACCTGATATAACACAGGGAATATCATTAACCTCAAGAAGCTTCTCTCTTCTCATAATGAAATTATTTCTATCGAATCTTCCCTCCTAATTTTTGCCTTTCCACCTACACAGGTTTTAAGTATAGAACTAGAAAATGAGGCGATTGATGCTTTGTATAACTCAATGTCTCTCGTAGGTTGCATCAAATTCGGCGACCAATTCATCAATCAACGTAGTTAGTATCCTATTTCCAATCTCGACACCTTCTTCAAACACTTCAACATTGAACTCAACCCACTTCCCCTGCCGAGTGCTCATGTCCTGGTTCACAAGCTCATCCACCATCAGATCTCCAATGGTTTTCCGCCCCGAGATTTCCTTGTAGACATCCTCCGCTAACCAGCGCTTTCTTCGGAACAATGCATGCCACTTAGCCCATGCTTCACAGGTTCCATTGACCATATTGCGACATCGTACCTCCAGACATTCGCTTGCACAATCAAACAAAAGTTTGCGCCTCAGCCAGGAGTGCTCGTTATATATATCCATTCTATCTGCTCGGTTCTCCAATTTATCGAAGAGACCGTTGCGTATGAACTTGGGCTCGCTCTCCCCAAAATCTTCCAACCTCAGCTTTACATTTCCAATTATTTCTTCCACATATTTAAGTTCCCAACTTCTCGAACCACCCGCATACAATGAATGGGATTCTTTTTTTGTTGCCCACTTTGTCCCAGCATCTGCTGTCATAGAAGAAGAGGTCGAGCAGGAAAGTTCATCCTCACATTCCACAGTTGGAAATTCTCTTCGGGAGAGCCAGTCCAACACCTCAGGGGCTTGACTGGATGAGTAATCTTTGTCGCCTGAGATTTATAAAAGGATGTTTTAGCCGTCACTCTCACTGAAAATAATTATTCATGAAAGGAAGGCATGGCAAATTGCTGACAATTACATTAATGGTCAAGTTACTACATTTTACCCTCTCATCAGTTTTGTGAATAGAACAACCAAAATTCTATTATATCAGGACTAGCTTCAATGTCCCAAGTTATTGTGCAACCTGTTCCAGTTCTTTTTCTGCACTGGGCAACTCACATGTTCAAGTCAAACCATGCTCCAAATTAATTTCTGAAGAGCTTACTACATCACATAATGCGCGTGTTCATGCAAAAGAAGGACGTGCTCTTACCACTGTAAGTGATCATGCTATCTGCGCAACTTTCACTCACAAATGAGGATTCAAGAGTTGAAACCGGGCTTGAATGTTCATAGTCAGTTTCTTTTCCAGCATCTTTTCCAGCACCATAGCTGGTGGCACTACTGCTGCACTCTTCTATTTCTTCTGAATCCACAACCTGTATGATATCAAGATAATTTGAGCATGGCAATAAATGTTCCCAACAATAACTATCTATTTTTGAAGTACAAGAATAAAAATATACTATTGCATTTCTCATTTAGACTCATATGATATTGCTCCTTTCAAACTGTATTAAGGGCATATCCAGAATAACAGAAGGTAGTTTTAAATCAATAGGCAATGACTGAAATCTATTCCTCTTTGCATATTGAAGAATAATACATTGGATTTAGCAAAAGAAAAGATCGAGATGACTAGGCACAAGCTAGTTTTGCAGATGAACTCCAAAAACTTCAAGATTTACTCAAAAGTAAAACATAAACTGAGGATTCAATATGAGACAGTCATGTTTTTTAATTTCTATTTGGTTTGACATGGCTGGCTAACAGATGCAGAAGATAAATCTGAGAATGCATCTAAGAGTTCTCAATAAATGGCAAGGGAAGAGCGTCCGTTTCCATCCCTTTCCAACTTTGAAAAAATTGATCGTATTTAAACACATACAATCCCAAATTTCATGCTACATTGATCATGGGCAGCAGATCGAAGTTTCAATATGTATACATATGTAGAAAGAATCTGGAAATGGAATGAAAGAAAACTCACTTGAACTACGTACTCAAGGTAATTAAATTCCATCATTGAACCAAAGTCCCCAAGACTCTATTTGTTGAATGCCTATATATAGTTATCGTCGCAATCCTCAAAGTATTAAACATGTGTCTAGATTTAAAGCGCCTGAATATTTCGTCCTTTTTTCAAGTGGAAGTTACTTAAAGAAACGAGAGGCTAATAAAAAACACAGAACACAACTGAACCTAGTAATTACTTTAGCAAAAGCAACATGCCTGGCACTCTTGCTTCGAGTTGGTTGCGGGACCATCAGATGAAGTACAGCCAGAAACATTTGGACTGCTCACGAACTCATCTAACCCTTGTTGAAAGCTTTCCTCACTTTCTGTTATCACAGGGCTTGCATTGTTAAGTGTGCCAACTGATTCTTGATTGCTAATTTTAGGCATAGACAAACTCTTTTCCCTGGAAATGTCACAATTGGACAAGTCTATTCTGTCAGTTAGTTCTCTAAGCTTCTGTTCCAAGAGAATGCTCAAAAAATTTCCATCGGATATACTTCCAATTGGAGATGATAAACTGGAATCTTTACAATTTAATGGCCCATTATCGCCATTAAAAGAACGATCAAAGTTACCGTTCTTGTGCATTTCAGTGCAGGCACGAGCTTCTTGAGAGCATCTCTTTATGGGAGAAGAGAATGTAAATGAAATAACATCCATGCTGTTTTTGTTGCTATCCACACCCCGATTAACACGTCCATCAATGACAGTATTTCGCTTGACAGACATACCATCACTGTCGATGAGAACATTGGTGGTGACACTTCGATTCGAATTGACATCTGAATATGCAGAATTTATTTTGTGGGTGGGAGTCTTGAATCTAGATGTTTTAAGCTCCTTGGAAATATTTGTAGCCAATGTTGTTGGGGAACCAGTTTGGGCCTTCACAGCAATCTTGCTCACAGTCTTAGATGTTCCGACCGAACCATTGACAGGCTGAGTTCTTCCTGCCAGTTGTTTGGAGCGTGAAGCCCTCGACAGTGAACCCTGTCTGTCATATAGGGAATTCTGCTTCTGGTTATTTTGCTTGAGCGCAATGCTTGTCCGGTTTGTAGAAGTTTTTCTTAGCGAACTCTTCTGCCACCGTGGCAGCCCATTGGAAATTTGGCTCGAGTCCCCACTCTGCTCTTTCTCAACTGCAAGATTTTTCTTATTGAGCTGATTCTTTGCCTCTCTTGTTTGAACGTTGACTTTCCCTTGCTCAGCAAGGGAAGATCTTCCCTTCAAGCTGCAATTTCCAGAACTAACCTTTCCTGATACCACGGCGGTCCTGGACAGCTGTGTATCTTGTGGAACTCTGTAGCTCTTCTCAGTGAACTTTCCTTTCATATCCTTGACATTGCCAGAACTACTGGCTTTCTGCTGCCTTGATGCCTCATAGGAAGCTTCTAATTTCATTTTTAGATCCTGTATTCTTAAAGGAACTGATGCTGAAACAGTCGATGATGCTTTGCCTCTGACATTACGGGGACTAGCTTCAATCATCTTTGCGGCTGCCTCCATAACATAGGTAGGATTCTTGGCTGGAATGAATCCGGGACCTTTAATTGGAGATAACAGCCTATGATGGGTAATGGAAATGGGTTTAGCAGATTTCGGAGGTAGTATTTCAGTCTGAAATCTCTCTATCGGTGGGTTCTGCGCCTTTAAGGGCTTTACTTCTGCAGGGCGTGAGGAGAACCTACCCAGTCTACTAGAACTACTGAGGTCATCAATTGGATCACATCTACTTTGAAAATCATGGGTGCCATCACTGTAAGGAGAAGCTTTGACTTGATGAAATTCAGAACATGAGGTGGAGGACTCGGGACCATTTGACTTTGGCAATGAATCCAAACCCATCAGTCGAGCCACTACTCCAGGGGCTCTGTTTTCAGATCCTTCATTGCTGGTCTCTGAAGCAGCACAGTTCCACTCACTACTTCCGCTTTTACTTGAACTAACTCCATTTTCATCATTAACATTCTACATTAAGGCAAGAAACAATGCAAGTCAAATAGACGAAACTCATACACGACTAAAAAAGATTTTGACAACAATAGGGTCAAACGAACTCCCACCATCTGAAACCTTGACTTCGCCAAGATCTCTGCATCATCCGTTCCATGCTTAACTCCATCTATAATCAGAAACAAAGCACGTTAATAGCACTATATGAGCCATCTCCTCCAGAAAACTTTCATATGCTAACAATGCATGGCGTACAACTAATAAAATTGATAAAAAGATGATGCAAGTCGTACCAGGACCAGGTATATCAGGACTGTTTGGGAACAGCTTCTTCCTGGACTTGCTATTCCAGTCAAAAAACTGTAGGAAGCCACCCTTTGACCGTCTTTTCTCCACCTCCATCTCTCAATTACAGGTATCCAAAAAGAACATAAATAAAAATTACATACATAACGAGGAGATAGGAAGACCCAGAGCAACCACATCCAGAGTAAATCAGTAACTTCGACAAAAGCTCGCATTGCGGAGCGGACGATGAAAATGCTAGATCAGGCGTATTCAACTATTTGCCAGACGAAATTTCACGAGTAACACATGAATAATGGAGACCCAGTGTGCATTATCCTAATTTCAATAGACCCTCCATTCCCATCTGCAAGCATTTCAGGACTCACTGCTCGGATAATTCTAATCTCACATTTGCCAAGAATCGACCCAACAACCAAAGCATCATACTTGACTCACTGAAACACGATTCATTCACAAAGCATCTCTCAAACTCCGAAAGCAAGCCCCATTGCTTGCAAGAACACGGCCTCACTACCTCGCCTGCTAAGTCCAAGCTCTAAACTGAAGTGGAGATTCACACATCAACAGAACAGTAGCGCGCACACAAGCAAAAAACAAAAATCAACGAATTTTCCACGCGAACCCCCCAAGATTCACACTAACCTCCCACCAAATGCGGCGAGGATTACGACGAGCGACACACCGAGTTGCGCATCAAGTTATTGACACTAGATCTGAGCCGGCATTGCCGGCGAGATGCGCGCGGAACAAGAAAGCGCCGGGAGTCGCCGCCATCCCAGGCCACGGGAATTGCTCCGGCGAACTTGACGCCGATGACAGAGAGAGAGAGATCTGGCGAGATGAAGAACAAGAAGAAGAAGAAGAAGAAGAAGGAGAGAGAATGCGAGGAGTTCGACTGTTTAAAAATGGTGAATTTTGTGTCCAAAGGAAGGAAGGAAGAGAGAGAGAGAGATTGACTGGTTTTCTGTGCATTGAAATCTGAGAGGAAGAGACACAGCCATCTTCCTGTTAAAAATTGTTTTTTTTTTTAATAATTTGCTTGTATTTTTTTTTTTTGGGAGAGTCGGGGTTGCCTTGTCCGATCGCCACGTGTCAGTCTTGTGGGTGAAGCCAGTTTACATTGGAGAAAAAGTGTTGCTATTTACCTCTTGTTTTTTGCCTCTAGTTGAGTAGTTGTTGGTGTCCTTTGTTGTCCTGTTTGGAAAGTGTCAAGGAAAAGTTTCTCCTTTCCAAATCCAATGGAATTCAGACCAAAAAAAAAAAAATCCAATGGAATTAATTATTCGGTTATTGTTCTTGCTTTTGCATGTTTTGGTAGGTTGCAAATTAGGACAAACCATGTTCTTTTCTGCTAAAAAAATTTGTTGGAATGTCGTGTCGAAGCTGAGCATGTTTCGCAGGACGAGGTACACAAAATGATATTTCGACTTTTTAATAAAAAGATCGAGTCCATACGAATCACCCATCTCCTCATCACGAAAAAAATCTAAGAAGATAGAGCCTGATTCGATAGCGTCAATCATTAAAAAAAAGTATGAACTTGTTTGCGCATTTCGCAATAGTTCAAAGACTTGCAATGACTTTCTTCTTTTTTAGATTTAAAAAAAAGGTTTACAATAAACATTTTAGGAATAGGTACACTAAAAGCTCTAAAACTTATCACGAAAGTGCAATTGATACCTAAAATTTACGAGAATCATGTCCTAAAACTTGTCAAATTGTTGCAATCGAGTCATTTTGTTAACTCCATTCAACTTGGCTAACGGAAAATGCCGATATGGCTTTCTTAAAATATTCTCTCTATCCTACGTAGTGATGACATGGCTAAAACACGAAACATAAGGCTAAAACAATGTCGTTTTGATCCAAATCTAATTTTTAATACAAATTTTAAGCTAAATTAAAAAAAAAAAGAGGGGTGAGAAATCTCGTCGGGAAGGGCCGACGAGGGTGGAGGATGGTCGGCGGGGGTCGCCGGGCCTCGACTGGTGGCCGGTGAGGGCTGTCGCTGGAGATAAAATAACAAAAAAAGTTGTGTCAACATTTTTTGTCAGTTAAGTTGAACAGAATTAATGAAACAAAAGTTTTAGGATCGGATTGTACTTTTTGTAAGCTTTACGACTCATTTACATTTTCGCAACAAGTTTTAAGTCTTCCAATGCACATCCCAAACATTTAAGAATAGTTTAAAGACAAAGTCCGACATAAAATTGCACAATATGCTAAAATTTAGGAATTATTAGTGTCATTTTTCTTTATCTTTTCTCTTGCTGGGAAAGAAACGGAAAAGACAATATGTTTGACTTTAGTGCGCATCTCCCAAGAAGAGAATTGTGGAATTCAAGACGTCAAGCATAATTCACGTGTTTCCTTTTTCGTCTTCTTACCTATTTCACCCATTGCACGATGCTACATACTCTTAGGTTTTAGGATCAAAACACTGCCACATGATATGCACAAAACATTGACGCCCTCCGTTGACCAGAAACGAAGCCAATTTGGGTCTTGGTAGTCAGATGTGAGAACAAGACAACGTGAGACTCAACATTAACCGAACTCGACATAGGATCGTTAGGTAATAGGTACCTTATCTGCTAAGGCTATGTTCTTTTTTTCTTTTTTGAATATTGCATGCATATTCCAAATTATTTCGTTGCAGTCCCGATTGTGAAATCAAGTCATTTTACGAACTTTCCTTTGCAACCAGTGATCTAATGCCTTGATCGATTCGTGCAGAGTTCGTATTACCTTTTAAGAAGGCCCGAGTTTGAAGATGCTTAGAAATTTCCATACATGCAAAGTCAATATATAGTGGACAATATGACTATATAAGTACGACCCCTATAAGATTTCGGGATGAACAATGCTTAAGTAGATATAATATAACGTTAGGAAATGTACAAACGAGGAATACCCCATGACAGATAGTCTAATTAAAACTGGCGTTTCCTATTGCATCAAAGTCACCGTTAACTTGCTTTTTCCTCTTGGGGGACCTATGTCACCTGATCCAATTTGATTTGTCTTACAATGTGCAATCATGCGCATGTACCACGTACAGCATGTGGCATGGTCCAGGACTCAAGAGTCATAACAAAAAAACCAGTTGGTGTCATAGCCACTGGGGTCCACTTGGGAAGGATAAGGGGACCATCTAAGATTCCTAAACAAGGACAATCACCTTTTAGTTCCTTAATAAATATTAAAGGGTTGGGACGGTCAATTCACATTGTTTATCCCTAAGCGTTACTATAGAATTTCCCTGTTTGTTATGAAATGTTCGATTTCAGTTATGACCATCAAGTATCGCCCATAATCTAAATTTCGACGATAGCTAACCCATCACCACAACTGAATGATATGTCAATAACTCATCACTCTTTTTGGACGAGGTAGTAGCACCAAAGATCACAAATCAATCCCTTTCGGTCACGATACAACTCAAACTTATAATTACGATGCTTACGTGACCACGGAGCCAACCAAGCTCGATGATAATCAACTAGTGGGCACTTTTGTTTGATATTGGGAATCTATAGGATTTTTTTTATATTTTCATTTATCTATTTTGATCCATGTAACAGCGGTTCTTTCTCTAGAATCCCATGCAATCTGAACTACAGTTATTGCTATTTTACAAGCTTCCAAAATTTATTTGCTTCCACTTGGAGATTTTCTACAGCACAGGCTCTCCTCTGTGGTCGTCAGAGGATAATGAGCATACCCCAAATTTTCTATTTCTTTGGCCGAAGAGAATCCCCCAATCCAATATATTTCCAAAACAATCTTTTTCAAATGAGTCATGCACATACTAACATTCAGAAGGAACGATTTTGTCCTCACTTCAAAAAGCAATGAATGAATTACCTTCTTCTGGGGCCCAATACTGTCAATTTCCCTCACCTCGTGCGATGCTGTGCCGTCATCAAAACTGTGTTGATTCCAAGCGCACCCTTTTGAGTGCAAAGCATTGGCTGCAATTCTCATGAAATATATTTATGCAATCATCAACGTGAGTTGTTGTAATGCAAATACAACAAGGAAGCAACTGTTGAAGTGCCACGTGAGAGCATTATTGGGCAGTTGACACGTCCTAGTCAACATGAATCTAAGGTTGTGCCTGACACAGGAATAATAAAACCATGTTAAATCCCTAAGTATCGAATCATAGATGCATTGCCATGTGCTCTCTGTGAAAAACTATTGCATAGTGTGAATCTGAGATCCGAGTCCATGATTTGAATAATCCAGTCCACCAATGCAATGCTTGCTGACCAGAAAGTCGGTAGTGTTCAATAGTTGGATAACTGATAATTAGACCCTAATAAAAGTTCTCAACCAATCGATTGTATCTTAGGATATACTACTTGAAAAATTTATTATGCAAGTAAACTAACTTCACAGATGCAGTCATGATATGCATCAACACTAATTCAAAATGGGAAAGAAGAAGAAAGGCAACATGTGCTTGTATGATTGGATTTCGCTGTTAATCTTTGCTGAACTGAAACAAGTAACTTTTTCTAGCCAAACAAGTAACCTTTTCTTCCTCAGTCAAGATCGGATGGCCTGTTCCCATATGCCTCTCCGGCGGCTTATATGTTGAGCCACATTTTCTTTCCCCTTACGAAAATAATTAGTTCCAGACAAGGAACATGACGACAGATAAAAGACAAGCATGAGATGACAAGACCATCACAACTGAAGAATTCTGTGTCCTTAGTTAAGGACCTTTGCCCCTCCAATACCATGTGGTCTTCCAATAATTGCGGATGATGGAACCAGAAGAACTGTGCAGCTCAAGATCATGCGTAAGTCGGTACCTGTCGCCCATCAAGAGAGGTGACACCTGAAAGGTTTACCTTTAGGAAGAGGCTTTGAGACAATTGTCGCAAGGATTACAACCGTCTTTACAGTCTTTCCGATCCAAAGACTCGCCAAAGTGTGCAAGTAAGGTTTGCCGACGACACTCATCCTGAAAATTTCGCAAATTAGAGAGTTAACACATGTTTATCAATAGACTTTGCTCCATTCAGGTACATGGAAGATGAGTTTAGCCCAAAGGTTCCATAATAATTTACATATGTTGCCAACAGACCCATCTAATGATCTAACACCCAGACTGGTTAATGCCAGACTAACACTAACAAGTAACAACAATCAATAGAACAAAAGGAAAGTAAAAACACAAAATAGAAGCATCACTTAGTTGATATCATCGAAGAGAAGTTGAGAACACAAATTGGAGTACCTTGAGTTCACAATATTGCTGCATTTTACTAGCTTGAGCCATTGCAGATTTAAAGATAGCGGTTTTACATCCTTGACCACTCCTTAACATGCACAACCCGGCTGAAATCCTTTTTGGCATATAGAGCAATGCACACTGCTGGTAGATTATCTCTTCCTGCCCTCCCTGATTCTTGGTAATAGCTTTCGATTGACTTGGATATTGTGTTGTGGATGACAAAACGCTGACCACATGCCATAAAAAAATAATTACTAAACCAACAAAAAGAAGTTGAAATGTGACTAAAACATTATAACTGAAAGTCAAGTTAGATCAGAGTCATTTGCCACTTTGACAGTAAAGAAAAGACCTTTATCCTAGTCTAACTTAATTTCAGCACACCCAAGTTCCATGCATGGAAGAAAGAATTTGACTTAAAAAAATACATAATTCGTTAGTTCCTGCAATCATAGCCAAGAATGACAATTTAGCAGGCCATGGAACCAGCAAAGTTTACTTCCAAGCACACTAAGAAACCAATTAGTGAAACTTAAACATTAGAAGAAAAGTGGATTAGTCGAGTATTTGTCAACACGTCAGCTTGATTCTAAAACTAAAAATATGCAAAGGCCCAGAGTCCATTTCAACTTACCACATCTGGTTTGTCTATTCCCATCCCAAAAGCAATGGTA